TGGTAAAGTGTTCATGTTTTAATTGCTAATGCGAATGTGCTAAGTGTGTACTAATAATGGACTTCTTTAATTATATAAGCTACGCACTTACCTCTAAGGATAATCTCAAAGAAATACGACTCTCTCCAATATCCTCCATTATTTAAGCACCTAAACATTTCACTAACCCACTGTCAATAGAATCTTACAAGATATACATCATTGAAATCAATAGAGAGAGAGACATCCTATTGTGATTCAGTTAGACTATAATTCCTCATAGAGTACCTTTTATACTGATGACAATTCATGTCCTAGATTGTCTTGGTTGTTTAGTTGTTATTCAATGGTAACTAACTACTAACACGGTACACAAGTAGATTCCTTAAGCATCGAGCACGACTCTCTTATTGTTTGTTAGTTGTGGTTATTGTAAAGAGATGATTATGAATCAGTGACAATCCCTTCAGGTTGATTATATTATAACGCTGGCAAGTCTCTATTATTTTGTGTCTTGGAATTTCTTGTATCATTGTCTTGGTTACAACACTGTTTACACTTAAACAAAATAAAGAATTGAATGGGATATCAATGTCTAATCATTTGTTGTGACAAAGCTTGATTAGATATCTGGCTTGCCTGTGGAAATGACGACATGGCTTTTTATTAAAGGGACAGATGCGGAATTTCCGGGAGTGCATCAATCCTCCTTCACAGAAACGTGAATTGTACCGCTAAACTAATTATTAATAATGTTCACAGCTTAGCTTCGAAATTTAAGCCTTCAAATCCAAGTGTATCCATAAATATGTATGTTTTAAAGTTATCCCACTGACTTGTCATGAACAGACATAAATATTTGAATATTTTTTGATGACGTCATGCGTATACAGTAGACTCTATCATCCTGTCCCATTTCGTCTAAAAAAAGCTGAAATGGAAGTCGTCTTGGTGTCAAATACCCCAATTTTTAGAAAGCTTGCAACGAAAAAATAAAAAGTTACATTTCTTATTTGAGGTCTATTAGAAGATTTCTGTACAGTTTTAGTAGTTCTGAAGACTATTTACATACATTCAAGGCCCAAATCACCCCCCCCCCCCCCCACCAAAAAAATGCCCCACCCACCCCTTTAAAACTCTCTTTAAAAGGGATTACCAATACCACAACTATGTCCGAAAGTATGCCGACGGCCTAAGAGTAACGACGACCAGTGACCCAACTAAAAGAGTGGGGCCCATGGACTTGAGGGACCCCTCCCCCCTCCCCCGCCCCACCGGGATTAAGGACTTATTTCTGCCCTTGGAAGGGCTCCAGCATAAGTTGTGAAACATTTTATATTGTGTGTTAACCTTTTGGATGCTTACTTTGGTACTAATTTTTTTTTTAATCCCCTTAGGGGTTGGGGCCCTTGGACTTGTTTCAATATATTGTTACGATATATAGACACAGCTTTATGGAACAACAATCACTGGTTAAAGTTTTATGCAACGTTTCGACGTGTTTCCCCCCGTTGTCCTCAGGCACATTATGTTGTTGCCGTGTCTATTATAGTCCCTATACTGGTTGAGCCACTGGTAACGACAGCTCTGATATCAACGATATATAAAACTCTATCAGCTAATAAATCAAATATTTTGACGAATGTATCACTTGAATGTGCCAATATTTTTTCTTTATATTTATGTGTTCAACAGTCGATTCATTAAATTTCTGTCACAACTGATAATTGAACACTTGAAATCTCTTTATAGAAACATGTACCTAATCATATTTTTTCTATTTTATGGAACAGTAAACAAGTAAATAATTAAGACATTTTTCATGTCAACTTGTAAAAATCCATATGATTATGTCAATAGCAATTTAAAGAATCGATGTTTATGCATCTTTTCTGTGTTTAACAAGTCAAGCGAAGGAAAAATAAACTGTCATTTGAAGAGACGCTATGTAAAATTTTGTCATTATTTAAAATGTTTTAAATGACGCGTGAAAAGATTTCTTACATATGCTCTTTATTTATAATTTTATTTTTAAGAAGTTATGAAAAAACGGTTGGCACTAATTATTAAAGGGACAAGTGTGCCATTCTTTTTGACCAATCATACTTTAGTCTCAGTAACTGGAATTTTTTAGCTAAGCCAATCAGTAATAGTGTTCACGGCGTCCGTTGAAATTTGAACCTTCAAATCCATGTGTGTCATCCTCGCTTGAATGTTGAATTGACGACTCGTCAATTTAATATATTATGTGATATATAGAAATAGTGAGTAAAATTCCTAGTTTGAGATATTTTCAAAGCAATTATGTAAATTTCGTACATTTCTAGTACTTCTGAAGACTATTTACCTATTTTCAAGACTCAAATCAACCCATCAAAATGACGCATCTGTCCCTTTAAGTAAGCAGTCTAAACTAGTTTTGTTTTGAGGCCTTATAAAATGTCAATACTTTAGTTGAAACTTTATGAATAAGTATAGGGGACAAATTTCTCCACAAATTATTTATTTAAAGTAGATCCGTACCATACCTTAGTTTTCAACGACGAACAAATCAGCATAGCGACTTTAAAAAGTTTATGTTAACTTTATAAAAAGTTTTGCTGTTCTAAAAATTAACAGTAGGATTTTTTAAGTTAAAAACTTTAAGATAAAGTATGGCACACATTTCTCTAGATTTTAGTCTATAGTTTTCAGTTAATTTGAGCATTTAACTTTTCCAAATAACGAAAAAAATATCAGACTGCACTCTTAAGGCATTGCTCATATTTCATGTTTACAAAAAATTATCAGCATTGTTTTTGTGACAACATTAATGAACTTTAGTCACATTATCTTAGGGGAAAATATCGGTCCCCCCAAAAAAAATCTCAAATAAGACATACTGTTCGTCTATAATTAAATTTAAATATTTGACCTAAGCGATAACAGGCTAACCAATGTCGGGATTTAATTAAAAGAGAAATTAGCTGCTGGCTATATAATTAAGCTTTATTTTATACTGAGTAATCAGACGATTTTAATTCTATAAGGTCGATGTCGACTAATGCAGTGTGTTAAGGTTTAAATTCCCCAATGGTAAATGACTGTATATCATCAAGCGGAAGGAATCGGTAGATATTTCCGCAGTTTACAGACTGACAACAGATGGACAATATGACATCAAATGAAAGTCCGTGGGTAAGCTTAATAAAGCTGTATATAAGAAATATTGCCTGAAGAACAGTAATAAATCAATTGAAGGACAACATGTAGAAGGTAAAATTAATCAAATACTTGCTCTATACTTCCTTCACTATCAGTTTAATATAAAAGATAGAATCCGGCAGTAATCCAATAATTGCCGGTTTGAAGTCTTTTTTAAGGAAATGAAACTATTTTCAATGAGGCTGCATTGAAACAAATCTATTAAAATCTAATTGATTTTCAGGCAAGCCAATTTTCACAGACTCGCTTTTCATTGCTGTCGTTTCCTTTTCAATGAAATAACAATTGAAACCTTAATAAAATGAAGAAAAGATTTTATGCGTTGAATTCAAATTGTTTGAGAAAATTATAACTTTTTTCATCTTCAGTATATCAAAGAGGTTCTGACATTTACGACGACCCCGGTCTTCATTTTCTGCGTAAAGTGCAATGCAGTAACACATATAGTTATAATAATAAGTTATTCATAATTACCAATTTCTTCATTCTGATGATCTTCACAATGTCAAGCTGTTACTAACTTCCTCTTAAACCTTGATAGTTAACTTTCTTCTTTCACGGAATGCAGCGATTCGATTGGATTTTACGAATACAGCCAATCAGAGCCCTTGACAGAAAGATTCGCAACATCATGGCTAAGTGTTTACAGATTTTTTGTCGATCCCTCTGATTGGCAGTATTCGCCAGCATACTTTACAATAAAATCGATGCATTTACAAACTCTTGTGATACCAGAAAGGTGGCTATTGCAATCAAGGTATAAGACGAAGTTCGTAATAGCTTGAAAATGTGAAGATATATTCGGATAGGAATATCGTCGACTAAATACTGGCTTTGCCAACTGACAGCTATATTCCATCCACCTGTTTCACATTTCAAAAGGAAAATCGGACAGAAGATTTAAAGCATAGTCGAAACCAAACAGTGTACGGTGACAAAGCTTTGCCAACAGTGAGAGAGGACAGAGTATAGGCTAATATGTTTGGTCAAGACTATCGACTAATATTGGTGTCCTAGTCAAGCATATAAGAGATTCCACTGATTCTAGACTGTATTGTCTTTAATGAATGGGGTGTAATGGAAGTGTCAGACAAGAACAAACATATTATTCTAATCTATCTTTAAACAGGGTATTCTATTGAAAGCCCATTTTACACCAGGCCGCTATAAAGCGTTCCGGCCGTCCTCGATCCGGACCAGGCCGCGATAAAATATGTCCATTTACATAAATTCAAGTGGTCTGAGAACGGTTATTTAGTTGTAGCGGAAATGAAAAGCGTTCACGGCACCGTTATCTGTGGAACTCTTCTTGAAGAAAATAAAATTAATCTTTAATGAAACCCCAATGTAATCAAAGACATCTGGATATAATCAACAATTACACTGAATAACGACGAAGTAAAGCGTTCTCTGAACGGTGACACCGTTACACCAATTCATCAAGTCCGTTCTGAAAACCGTTTCAAGATCACCTCCCCAGAATTGGAATGGTTCGCAGAACGTTCGACCGTTTACATGTACTTTACACATCCGTTCCGTTTTGAGAATGGATACATTTTTCAGAGTAAAGTTGTTAAAGATGCGTTCTCACAATACATACACGACGAACAAGTTGACACAAGATCTAAATATTTGCTTTCCCAGCTAAAAAATATACATTTTAGCTATCTGTACCACTCTCCAGAATGGAAATATGTATGGTTTGTCTTCAATTAAAGATACGATATTATCTATCGAGCTTCATTTCATACACCGCCATTTTCGTTCATTTGTCAGGGTATAATTTGGGCAGCTATAAATGGCCCTATGTGCAAGAATTAAAAATTTACCAAAAGAAGACCAGTTCCATGCCGAAACACATCTTCACAATCTGAAGCTATTACGAACCTCATCTTAACACAGTTCGCATTTAATACTGAATGAATAATTGACAAAGAAGGTTGTCTGTTAATAACTAAAGAGAATTTATATGCTGTGTGCTGTTGACAAAGGCAGCAGAAACTGCCAAGCACCAAAAATTGCCAACCAAGAGCAACCAACCTTGTGAAGTTTGCTGGCTGTCTTGACCATACTTTAGAAATATCACAGTTTTTTTTAAACTGTAAATCAACCACAATATAATTACCTTCAAGAAGCCAGACATAAACGATGTTTAACGAGTTTAGTTTGTAGTAATTTTCATGATACTTGGCGACCGATATGGTAAATTGGACTATTTAATTCCAATTGATCAGTTCTCATCATCAACATTTTAGTCAGTTATACCTTCATTTACTGCTACAAATCATTCATTATTAGACCTCAGTCCAGACATAGAGCTGTTTACATTGATTAACCTTATATTACTTACTTAAACAGACAGCGCATTCCGCCATTTTGTTGCTTATTATTACAGACTATACTTGTGGCTGAAAGGCAACAGGTATACCATGTTTCTTCAGCAACGCCGTACACCATTTTCTAAAGGAACATGCTGGTATACAAATTTATGAGAATCATTTCGGGCCACAAAAGATGATGAAAGGTGTGAGCGTGCTGCATGTTTTCATCCCCTATCTCATGTTCAATGATTTTCCGCCAATATTGTTCTATCAGCTGATTCCACATGACTAGAGATGAAGCAACTTTGAATATAAGGCTGAGCCATAAATTATATTTCTCTTAAATATAGATATCTAGGTAACACTCATCAAAGATGTATTCTTGTGATTATTGGAAGGTGACATCGCAACAAAAACATTGTCCAATATATTTATAAGAAAGATAGAAAGAGACAACTATATTTTACAACGATAACAACTTATGTTCACTGTTAACCTGATCCTTGTCCAAATCTCTTGGCATTGATCTTTCCTGATTATCCGTACCCATTTACAGCTGGGTCGACTGGAATCATGAGCGAAGATGACTTATTCAAGGTCATCGGACTTTCATAACACAATGTATTATATAATAATAATGTTATATATCAGGAATCTCCTAACAACTTATGTTCACAGTTAAGCTGGTCCTTGTCCAAATCTCTTGGCATTGATCTTTCCTGATTATCCGTACCCATTTACAGCTGGGTCGACTGGAATCATGAGCGAAGATGACTTATTCAAGGTCATCGGACTTTCATAACACAATGTATTATATAATAATAATGTTATATATCAGGAATCTCCTAACAACTTATGTTCACAGTTAAGCTGGTCCTTGTCCAAATCTCTTGGCATTGATCTTTCCTGATTATCCGTACCCATTTACAGCTGGGTCGACTGGAATTATGAGCGAAGGTGACTTATTCAAGGTCATCGGACTTTCATAACACAATGTAATATATAATAATAATGTTATATATCAGGAATCTCCTGACTTTATAAAAATTCTTTCCATAAATCCAAGTAATAAAAAAATATTTTTTATTGAACATGGAAAATATCAGCCGGAAGTAAAGGGTCTAGGTAGGGGCATCGCATCCTTAAGCTGTAGAGATTTTAAAAAACAAAAATAATCTTCTTGTCAGAGCTAGCAATTCGACGAATTAGCTTTTATAACGAAATAAAACCACATACCACCTGGGCCAGAAAAAGATAGGAATTCTTATAATTAAAGTGATACTACTGCTTAGAATGAACATAAAATTTAAGTTCTCAAGAATGGTCAATATGAGTATATATTCATCAGTGAACTTACCTGGTGTCATAAAGTTACAACAGAATCCCTGTAAAATCTGGAAAAATTGGAAAATTCATAAAACTTAGTTATTATTGAAATATGCTTAATCTTAATATTAAGCGTTTTTCAATGATTTATTGCATAATTACTAAGTTTTTCGGATTTATCACATTATATAAGATCCTGTTATGTCATTTATGACACCAGGCATATCTACTGATGAATATATGCTCTTATTTGCCAAGTTTAAAATTCTTAAATTTTATGTTCATTCTAAGACGTATTCTTTGAAGGAAGTCTGGGATCCTGTGTGAAGGTTTGTCTCAGGAAGTTGGTATATATTTAAGATTTTAATAATTATACTAACAGTATGTTACTTCACAGGATATTCAGATTAAATGTCATTTTAAATTAAGAAATAAGAAACCATCATCATGCTAGACTGAAAATATGAGAGATCCCATCTGGAAAGTGAAAATCTTTTCAACAAGAGAGAATAAAATAGTTCAGGCAGTTGTCGGAAATGGTGTCTGTCTACAGCCTGAAGCTTCATTAAACAACATCAAGATAAGTCTTATATTAGCCTTATAAAGAACGATCGTCTTAAAATATTAGCATAAAGACTGGACTAGGTCTAAAAGAATCTAACTGTGTCAGTGCTTTCGAGAGTCGGCCCGGTGTCGGATCTCACCCCTAATACCTAACACTATTACAACCACTCTTGTGCGTCACGAGTTCCGAACGCAACACATAACTTATGACCGCTATATTCTTATTCGCAACCGTACTCATGTAGTGATCGCTATGGTACGAGGGCCACATAATACATTGTGACTGCAAGAAGAGTCGCTCACAGATTTACCTAGATGAGGTAGTGAGGATATAGACACAAGCAAGATATTATTGTTAGTAGAACTGTCTGCAATCATATGACATACATGTTTTTGGTCGATTGAACTTTTACCAGTGGGCCTCGGACATCAGGAAACTGAACCAGAAAATGTCTGGCTTCATTTCCACCATAGCTCCCGCCCCCTCCCTCCCTCCCTCCTCCCCCTTATAGTATGAAAAATAGTTAACTCTTCGCGTGAATAGGTAACGCAAATTACCTATAGTTTTCAAATTTAGTCATTTCGTTTTAAGATGAGATAACATGACTGGACTGTATATTGCCATTCATATTTTAAGTATGTAATATTTGATGTTGTGTTTTTGATGGAATACAAAGGGCCGTATACAGCGCTCTTACCTTGACTAAAGTTGAACTTTGGCTAAAGTCGAACTTACAAAGTTAGGATTAAGGCTTTCATTTTCTACATTTGATAGTCAAATTTAAGCACGACTTTAGTCAAAGTTTAGGTAAAGTACGAGCGCTGCATATGGCCCAAAGTATTTTTTAAATATTTAGTATATTTAAATTTCTAGATAACCGTCCTTTAAACGAAGATGAACCGGGTCAGATATACCGTGGTAAATAAGTCAATACCCTGGGTATCACACGATGAGAAAAATATTGCAACATCTATTAGTAGTTTTCAGTCTCGAATTCCTCAATTTAATTTGTCATCCCGAGAGTAAAATACAGACGAATGAAATTGTCACTCGACATGCATCAATCTTCATTTTACTTGAACAATCTAATTTCAAGGCGACAATTTGTATTTAAAACTAGTTCCAATTTCAATCTTTTAATATCACTTAATAAAACGGTTCAAGATAGTTTCGAAGGAACGTAATCAATTTCAAAAGCCTTTTAAATTCTTTGAAGTTCGGGAAATCTTTAAGTACTAAGAGACACAATCATGCAGATTATTTTTTAATGAATTATCCTTTCGTTGAGTTGATGACGTAGAAAGTCTCGTGAGTATATATAATCTCAGAAATTTACTTAGTATGCAAACTACAAAGTGAAATGAAAGGGACAGGTTCGTCATCAGTTTAAACAATCCTACCTTAGTATTAGAAACATTTTTTTAGGTTAAGCCAAGCAAGTAAGGGTCAGTAATCCAGGGCATCTCTAATACAATTTCTTATACAATTTCTAATTATGTAAATACATCATTATTAGTCTAATCTATCTTTTTAAAAATTTCCATGACATGTTCTATTGCACCTTTCGTTGTATTTGAGCTTTTGATAATAACCTATGGTATTGTATGGAACTATGGAGATGGTACTTTTTGTAAGTTTTTGTAACTTTTACCAAATCCTTATAATAATGAGTTCCAATCTCGGTAGGTAGTCCGGTAGACCATGAAAGTTATCTTATGTGTCTGTCTATTTCCTTTTGTGTAGCCATTTATGGCAAATCCGCTTGTAACAAGTCAAATGCCACGATGTTAAACCTGCTGCCAAGCTCAAGGAATGAATGTCACGGATGAAAATAATGGCGCAGGCTTATACCCCTTTTACACTCGGCTTGAAGCGATTTGATTTGATTGTAAGCTAGCGAATATAGCCAATCAGATGCGGGCTACGATTGGGTGTATTCGCTGGCGTACACTCTAATCAAATCGCTGCATTCCATGATAAAAAAACTAGTGACAGCTTGACATTATGAAGATGTAGAGAACTGTGCTTGGCATAAACGCAGTTATGTAAGTGTTCAGTCACCCTTAAAAACAGCAATCTATGACACATCAGAACACGAACATTGACACACGAATTAAATACTTTATTACAAATCTTTGAATACACAAAGAGATGTTTACAACATCACATGTAGTTACTCTGGAATTTTTACTTTGTTTGAAGATTGTCCATTTTGGAAGAATTCTACCCAACTTCCATCATAAACTGCTACATCTTTCTTACCACATATATAAGCTGCCAGAGCTATTGTACACGCTGATATGCCTGAAATAAGTATAATAATAATAATATGTATTGCTGAATTTTATCACATTTATCATCTTCACAATGTCAAGGTATTACCAACTTCTTAATAAACATTGACTGCAATAGCTACCTTTATTGTATTTGATTGAATCGACTGGCGTATAATTTAATCAAATCGCTGCATTCTGCAATAGAAGAAAGGTGGCTAATGCAGACAAGGTATAAGACGTAATAGCTTGACATTGTGCAGATCACCCCCACGTTGCAATTCAATATTTGGTATATAAAGTGCTTTTAGTTTCCAATGATGGGCGTTGAGAAAGAAATTCATTAGGAATATTGTGTTGAACTACCTAGCATAATAATAATAATAATAATAATAATAATAATAATTTTATTAGAAACCCAGTTGCACAAGGCAATCTTCCCTGGGATCTTTCTACATAAAACTATAAAAACATATTTACAAAATGATAACGTAATAATGGAAAATAGAAATATAATAGAAAATGAACGTATGAAAAATAGAGGTCACATTAAATACAGGTTTCCTACATTTTGAGTGTCAAATTAAGCAAACTATTTGATTAAGTAGAGTTTTAACCAATCATAAATGCCCATGTATGTGCAGTCTGGATAAACTGCTGGTAATTCTCTTCTAATCAAGCTAATTATGAAATAATTATGGACATGTGAGACAAACTGGTATTTTTTCAAGTCATTCGGACACCCCTACTTTCTATTCATATAAGTATTAGCATTTTCATTTTCATAAATGAAAATAAGGGAATCCATCTTAAAGGTGATTCAGATTTAAATGTAAAACGAAATGAAATAAAAGTAATCTTACAACATTATTGAAAGATGAAAAGATATTTGTAAAATAATTCTAGTCTCTCTTATTATCATAGTTCCCTTTTCAGTCCTGTTCTAAAACATTCTACACTGTTGGATTCATTAAGTACTTGAGGTAATGAATTCCAGACTAAACTAGCTTTGTATTTTAATGTTCTTTTCATGGCCTCAATCCGGCACTTGGGAAGATGTAATTGCAGATTGTAACCGAAAATAATTTTGAAAGTAATGAGGACATTTTCCGTTCATAATTTTGTGAGCATGTATCCCATTGTTATATTTGCTGGAATAATGGTAGTTTTCTGTCGACAATAAGTTGTCATTCAAACCACATGCAGTGAATCACACCACAATATTGCTCGTATAAGGGTTATTAATGGCAATGAGAGCCACACGACAAAAAACAATTGCCAATTACAAAAAGAGACTTGTTATAAAGTCAGCTGCGTTAAAGGTGCGGGTCTTAATCGTCGATTTTTGTCGCCGACCAGAGTCTTGTCAAGAGTTTCACCGACCGACTGGGGCACACGAGGAGACTGAACTCCACTGTCGTTCGTTTTCCACCATGGCTATAATCACGTGCGGATCATGCTATTGGATGATGACGGTCTGTCTTGCAGACGATAAGATTAATCGGCAAGAAATATAAGCCCCGTCAGTAACGCGATAATCTTGTCGTAGAAACGTGGACACACGCGGAATTTTATTTAAGATTCGAGTCGGCAACTAAGGGTGCTCGTGTTCTCGCACCCGTAATGAGAAAGAGAAGTCTCTCAGTTCAAAAATAAGATCTCTAAATTATATCTTTACAAACCAATGGTAACGATTCTGAATACCAAGCTAAGATTTACTCGAAGAATAATAACAAGAATGGATTTCGCAACTGAAATCTACCTGACGGACACAATCAAAGAATAATAATACCCGATTACATTGGAGTTTGTAACCTACACAGCCAAATACAGAGATTGATCATGGCTGACAAATCTTATATAACTTTGAACTTTAGAACTAATCTTAACTTTCAAGACTTAATGTCTCCATGGTGACAATCCATCCATCTATTGTCAGATATAATTTAAAGTTTTTTTTTGTACAGTTTTTGTAAGCATTTTAAGAGGGAATTAGCATTTAAATGGCATATTGTAAAATATGTCCAAAAGCACTGTTAAAACCAAGTGGTATTTAGATGAAAATTAATCGGACTGTTATGAAAAGTTTAACCAAACGAAGTTTAAAATTAAGAATGAGACATTTGACGTTTATTTTGTTAAAATACGTTAAAGGAGGTTTTCCCTTAGTGTCAGATTAAGAAAACTGATTAATTGATGTTTTTAAAGAATTATCATGTATTCTTAATCATATTATGTTATTGTATATAATTAAGATTTTTAACCAATCATAAATGTCCATGTTTGTACAGTCTGGATAAACAAAAAGGACTTTTTGATCTTTCTTGATCGGTCATGTATGGACATGTGAGACAAACTGGTATTTTTCCAAGTCATCTCTAGTCACCTCGAACACCTCTACTTTTTATTCATATAAGTATTAGCATTTTCATTTTCATTAAGTATTTTTCTTACACCTACCAAAATACCAAATTTTAGTTAAAGCTTGCAGACAGATTTCGCTAGATTTTGGAGTATAGTTTTCATTATTATTATTAATTAGTATATAATTTTCCCGACGTATAAAAAAGGAAACGCAATGAAGGAAAACTGTTTAAACGAGGACAAAGTTTTCTTATCTTTACATCTTTCAATCTTACATATTGAAGTGAAGAAAAAGTGATATAAAAAAAAGTAGGTATAGACCCTACTAGTTGTAGTAAAACGTGAGGAAAACTAGGGTCTAGTTGGTTGAAATGTTCTACAAAACTTTTTCCACCAACATAAAACATAAAAAACTGCAACTGTAGTGTTATTAGTGTCTTTGTACCAATCTACCTACCAAAGCTTTTGACAGCGGATCAGAAAACTGTCTCCTAACAATAAAATTTATGCCCATGATATTATATTCTAATTTGGCCCTTCAGACTTCCCAAATTGAAAAAAAGAAAAAGCCTATATCTATTAATGAAGCCATTTTCTCTTACAATGACTATTTGTTGGGATCTCTACATCTTTACTTGATCTGCATCCAACCCAAGTAGCACCGCCGGCGTAAATCTAAAAATAGACTTGGCTTTTCCCGCATGCTTCCTGATTTGAAAAACCACATTATACAATTGAAGAGCTGAGATCATATGGTGCCATTTGTCACTATTCGAGAAAAGGGCGAAAAACCTAGAGTTAAGCCCATACTTTCAATGGAGATTTGAAATAATGAGGGAGTATATCACAGTAGTTTATTAATTTAGCATCACAATGATTATACCAAAATGTAGAAAATTTCAAAGGGTAATTACTCTAAAGTGAAATCTGAAAAATTTCACGTGGAACTTGGACCCTTTTTAATCTCAGCCGTTCAAAACCGGTTTCTATTCGGGTCATTTCAAGTCAAAGTTATGGCTATATTCCGCCAATGCTATTCATACTTTTTCATTTGAGTGTTTCGTTATCACTGTCTTTGAATTAATTAAATTAGCAAATTAATCAACAAGCTATGATTCAACCTACCTGAACCACATGAAGCTGTAATAGGTTTGTTTAAATCAACACCAGCATCATTAAATAGTTTCTTTAGTTCTTCTTCTGGTAAAATATGTCTAGTTGCTTCATCAACAACCTTAGTGAACGGTAAATTAACAGAATTTAGTATATGACCAGGCTTGATATCTGAAACAAAAACAGAGAATGACGGTTAAAGCATTACGAGATGTAGCTGGAAAAGCATTTAGGAAATTCTTGGCAGTTTCTGTAAAGCAAACCTTGCAGAGCGCATTAGAAGAACATTCACTGAGGAAGGTTTGATGACATTTTTCTACGATTCACAATTCGTTAAGTGCTATCTCTGTTGCTTGCCTTGGTGGTAAAAATAGTTTCAAAGGTCGAAGGTATATCATTAACAAGATGCAAATGAACCCAAATGATGACTTGAGTCTAATCAAAATTGGACCTAACTTGCATTCCTTTTTTTTATTAGATTTTGTTTATGTCGCCACTTCAATTACGGTCTAAAGCCCTCTTGAATGTCTGTCAAATTAACCTTTTTGACCTATCACTGAGTCACAAAATGCCAGCGCTTGAGAGGGTAGAATTTTGGTTAAAGCAGACGTCATCGAGTTAGGTCAAAAGATTAATTTGACGAACGTTCAAGAAGGCTGTCGTTAGACCCTAACTGAAATGGCTACAATAAAAATTAAACCTAATAAAATAACGGAACTTAATTTTGTTCTGATTTTAATTAAACTGGTCATGACTCCATGAGAATCAGAAGTAAAGATTCTATACCTGCTCTCGGTTCTGGACTGACACCTTCAAATCTACCATTGGGTCTCGCATCAACCAGCTGGAATTTTTTCTCCTTGATATTTGTTTCCACTTGTTGGATACTTATCACCAAATTCTCATTGAAGTTACTCTTAAACGATTCTTTGGTCGGTGTTGGAGTTTCAGCAGTCGTCACAGGGTTTCCTGATTGAATCCATAACGGAAGCCCTCCTTCCAAAATAGAAACTGTTTCGTGTCCGAACACTCTAAAAGTCCACCAGACCCTTTGGGCCGAGAACACTCCAAATTTAGCATTGTTGTCATACACGATCACATGAGTATTGTTGTTGATTCCTAAATTTCCAACATACTCCTCAAAATCTTTAGCTGGTGGAAGCATGTGAGCCGTAGATTTAGTTTTGTCAGCACAACCATCGATATCAAAGAAGAGAGCTCCAGGAATATGTCCCTCGTGATATTCTTTCAACGCATTCCTACCAGTATTCGGTAAATGCCAGGAGGCATCGAGTATACGGAAGTCTTTCGGTGGTGCCTTGATTTTGTCCGCTAACCATTTGATACTGACTAAAGCTGGGCGACTCATGACTTTTTCTGAGGAAGAGAAATGGAACCATAAATGTAATTTGTACTTCTAAAGCCTACGACGGGTAGCGGTGCAATCTTATATTGCACAAATGCTAATTTGACAAATCACGTTTACTTGTTAGCCTACCTACTTAGTACATGAACGACTGCGTTTGGCAATTTGTTATTTTGAATCCACATTGAACAAAATAGCTATCAGTAGCTGGAATAGAGGCAGTTGTTTCGGACTAACTTATTACCTGAGATAAGCTGAGCAATGAAAATAGTAATCAAACAAATTTGATCGGACCAAAACTATATAGTTTATGTCGTTTTCATAAAGCAGACGGACAGACCTCTACGCGGGTGACGAAAATAAAAGTCTGTTAAAAATATCTTTTAATGTTTAATTTACTCTACTTTGTCTACACTGTTTCTGAATTGAATTTTTGACCATCATTTTCATCTGAAGTGAAATATCAACTATAAAATACTACATTAAGCTTTGAATTAAATTGTTACTCTCATTTCATATATATTCAAAATAAAATTTTCAACTGTATATGTCATTCGTCCACAGAAATATAACATTCTGTGATACAGCATTTAAATTCACGTGAAAATGACCTATTTTTTCTGACTGAAAATTCCCTCTGAAAAATAATGTTTACTAATAATAACTTTTCCAGTGGTTAACATTTTCTTCAACCCAAAAGTAATACAAAACTCTCGTTAATATTTTGTAGTTGATATTTCAATTCATAAGGAAATGATTGCCAAAATATAATTCAGTAAACATTGTAGTCAGACAGAAAAATGAAACAGATATTCGGACTATACAGGCCAAGTCTATTCATTTTGCTTTCTAGTACATTATATATTAATTATCAAATGGCGACTACAATCCTTGTGTCAGTATTGCAGGTTTTCAAATATATATCACATTAAAACCAAGTTTACCTCCGGCTTGATAACAAAATACTAAATATTGTGTTGATTTGTTGCGGTGAAAACCCGAGTTATCAGTGTCCTTGACCTCTCAGACAGGTAAAAATACTGATAAAGTAAACTGACTGACTTCTAATGATAAAAATCAATCTAGTACATTGGAATATGTATTTACTTGTTTAATAGATTCGGAGTCATTCCCTAAAGAATACATTTTAAGAAATTAATAGAAAGTGGATCCATTTCTTCGCACGAAGTCCTTTTTCATTTTATGATAGCACGAAGTCCACTTCAATAGAAAGTCGCTTATGGCAAAGAAAGTTTCACCTTAAGATGTGTTTCATGTTAAATGCTGATATTTAGATATGTGCTATATTCTTCATGGATTAAGAATATTATTATTCAATTGATCAATAAAGATAAGACCATTTCTTTTGAAGATTTATTTGCCATTTGCGCCTTATGGTCCTAAGCGACATATCATGTGATAAGAAAATGTCAACATGGCGAGAAAGAGTGAGGATAACTTGAAAGATAAACTGAAAAACCTTTTTGGTATCAATAAAAATCAGTCGCCAGCAACTGCAACTAAGATCCACACTAAAGAAATAACCATTACAAGAGAAGTTCTCAGAGTATGCCTTTTTTTGTTGTCAAATTTGATGGCACTTCGTAGGGTGGGGGTTTATCTTTACATTGAACTTAAGCCTACGAGGCTACAACACAGGCCAAATTCGCACCCATTTGGCATTAGTAACGCAAGGGCTGCCAAAGTTTTCCAGGATATACAGAATAGTGTATCTCTTTTCTGTTAGCAAACATGTCTGATTTAGTGCGAAGTGTGTCAAAAAGGTGACATAAGCATGAAAGTGCAGCAAAGTCTTTTTTAAAGCACAACAGAGTCCCTGTTCGGCCTCTGCTGCCTAGAAACTAATGCAGTAATGGATAAGATTTTTTACAAGACTGACTGAAAGTCAATGGATTGCATTAGATCAACACTAAATCATCACCTGTATGCAAACTTATTTTAGACTGTGGCTGATTTAATAGTTGTTGAATTGTTCAAGTGCCCCTTTTCCAATAAACCTTAGCAGACACAATATGAATAGCCTTCCATTTGCCATTAAAGGGACAGTTGTGTCATTTTTGGGGGCTGTGGTGAGGTGTGAGACTAAGGTACTATTAGGCCAAAAAATGGGACAACTTAAAGTAAATGCCTTTTCATAAGTAGGCTAAATGGAATTTCCTTCTAATTTTTTTTAAGGAAATTGGACCAGAAAGTCCTGCAAATAATAGGATTAAACGAATACATGAATTATCAGACATTGTGAAAGATAAGCGTTTAGAAGAGGTGAGTTTATCCCTTTTGTCCTGTCTAATACCTTCATCATTATTTAAATTTATATTATATTATTAATAGCATAAATTTGATCTGTTCCAAGAACATTTTGTTGCATATGTTGACACCTTGGCTTTTTCTCTCAGTTTCTGAAAGTAGACAAAATGGCTGCCAGAGGAATTGTTTTTGTTTTCATCTGGGTAACAGACATCTTTAAGTACTTCTTTCGTGAAGAGTTTTACTAAAATGTGTCTGAGAACATCATACCGAATGGAACTGTTCTGAAAATGCTGGAACGTAATAGTGTAAACTGTCAAAATTTAATGATTTTATCGCGACTGCATCCTGTATAGACCGAGAAAAAGCACTTAGTAGCATCCTAATGTAAACATGGCTTATATCTTTTAGATTTTAATATAAGATAATACTTTAAAATGATGTTCCTGAATTTTTTTTCTTGTAGAATGCAGTGGAAGCTCTTTTAGTTGCTATTTCAGATATTCTTCAAAAACCAGCTACTAAAGATGCAAAAATCATAACATTAGAATTTATCAAATGCCTTTTGCTTGGTCAGGTTAGTTTTAAATTTTTCCTTCCCATTTAAACACAGTCACTTGGTCACAGTAATCATAAGTTTGTGTATTGATTACTTACAGCAATTTTCAGACCGATCAGACACCCCATACTATGTTAAATCAATCGCTTAATACTTGGCACTGTGCTCCTATTATAAGATTTGAACGACATTTAGAAGTGGAGAGTAGATATAACAAATGAACACAGGGGTATATTATGGTATGGTATAGTCATTTTCATCTGATGAAGACACATGTAAATTGTGTTGAAACGTTATGTGCTTTGTTAGTAAAGAAGTGAGTTATACCATAATATATCCCTTGTGTTTTTTTTTTTGTTTGTTATATGCTCCTATTGCTTCATCGCATCCCAATTACTTCTGATCGCGATATGGACTCTTAAAGTGACAATATGACAATATGTCAGAAATGTTAACATTTTTTCTTTCAAAGCAATTTCAATTAGTATACATATTCATCTGTTTTTCAATGACATTGATTTGGATGGCTTGAATTTATAACATTTCATAATCTTATAACTAGTTGAAAATTAAACAAATAGTGAAATCATTTTGAAGCTTGCAATGTTTATAGAAATTCTAAGAATCAAAATCAATCACTATATACATGATATGGAAAAATCAAAAATTATGTTGTACACACAAAAACCTATAAACTTGTGTTCAATGGGAGCAAGAATGAATTTCCTAACTTTCACTTTAATGTTTTATGTTTCAGATAAACAACCTAGGTATACTCAGAGGCCATTTCTTCCACATAATAGACGACTTGCCCCTTCCAGAAGAGTGGAATATAAGGTAAATTATTGACTGAGATCATAGATCTGAGAAATTTGAGTAATTTCTATCTCTTTGGAGGGATTGTAAACTTTTAAAATGGTGATGAGAGCATAATCTGATAAAAGCACTGGCTTAGGTCACAAAGTAAAGATTCATGATAAAATAAAGGTGCAAATTGTAACCCTTGTAATCTTGAAATATAGATTTCAACTGATTTCTATATCGCCAAATAAGATGAGGAACGTGTACTGGTTTTACCCATGTCTTTCTATCCATCCTAAATTGCTTGTAAACAATTCTTTGTAGATTTTGGAGAAATTTGGTGAAATCATTTATTATCACCAAAGGATGAAGCCTATTGAAAATCAAAAATGGAAAAATATTTGATATGAGTAATATTGCTTGTTCAAAAACACATTCAATTACCCATATAATCAGAAAATTAAAATTGAATAGGTGACCAAGTGCAAGTGTACTTTCATGTTCTCTATAAATTGTAAGAAGTCAAATAAATAACTGCCTGAAGTTGAAAGGCTATTACTGAAATCATTGGATACCACAATGTTTTGACTGTGCCTTTAACAATGTTTGAAATAGTTATTTACATCATATTTTATTATAGGTTTGAGCTATTTAACATACTAAGTGAAAATGGAAGAAATCTACATGATTTTGAAGATGAAACTGGTATGTACCTTTATCTTCAAATTTAAAAAATGCTCTTTGTATTTGCATACCATGCCTTATGCTGTCTTCCATCTTCACAATGTCAAGCTATTACAAACATATTATGACTTGACTGCACTAGCAACTATTCTTGTATAACGAAATGCAGCGATTTGATTGAATTGTTTGCCAAGGAAAGCTTGAAATTTCCATACTATTACAATTCAAATTGGACTTTGGAATTTGATCTATATACTATCAGCATGTAAGATCTGGATACTTGTTGGGGTGCTATCACTATCTGAGCATGAATGACAGTAATAAAAGAGATATTTAAGGTTATATGTACTTTATTTCTCAATTCACAGAATTAAACTGCCTTTTTTGCTCTCTTAGACCATTTTGATAGATCTTACCATTTAAAGGGACAGATTTATCATTTTCAAGTGTTGATTTGTATATATGTATGTCTTCAGAAGTACTAGAAATGTACAAAAATCAAATAATTCCTTCAAAAATATCTCAAACTTGGAATTTCTATTTCGATAAATGTCTTTTCTATATCAGACAGCGTCTCTAGAAAAGACAATTCGTCATTTTAACATTCAAAGGGGGATAATTCTGGACGCATATGGATTTGAAAGCTCAAATTTCATCAGGGAGCTTTGAACACTATTACTGATTGGCTTAGCTAAAAAAAAATTCCGTCTCTGAGTCCAATCACTATTGGTCAATCTGTAGAAAAACGAAGGTATCTAGATTGGTGATATTCTATTTTTCAGGACCGTTCTTACTCAGATCGATGCCAGATATTTTATCTAAGGGAAAGATATCAGAATATTTATCATTATTGATCAATGTTATCAAATTTAATGCTGCTTATTTAGATGAAGAAACTGTTTCAAGCTTAGTTCAGTAAGTAATAGATCCTATTTTTAGCCCACATCCCTCACTTGCAGCAAACTTAGTGTTGTGTTGTACAATCCAACAATTGCCTGCATTTGAGAATATATTGGAATTGGAAAAGCTTAGTCATAGCAAGGCGATTAGGTGCCGTGGATTTGAATCTTCCTCAAGGTAAAAAAATTTCTGATGCCTGTGCCAGTGCATCTGAGAATCAGCACAGTGTAACCTCTCAGCCCCTAATACCAAACTTTTTTTGTTTATCTAATTAGCATATTGTCACTGTTTGTTAATCCACCTCCAATCAATTTACATCACTTACAGTGGTGTGGTGTTTTATAAAGTTAGTGATCACTTGAACTCATAGATCAACTGATCCATGAAATTCCAGAAAGTGTCTTAATTACAAAGTATAGAGTAGAATATGTTATTTTATTACAGACAGACATGTATGATACCTAATAGATCTCGATCTGAAGAGGATATGAAGGTTAGTACTATCTGTTAGAGCTGCAACGATTCCTAAAGTGGCGATCCGATACACTGAACGTTCAACGATACGATTTATTGCGATAATAAATCCCGATTCTTTGATTAAAAGGGAAAGAAAACTGATAATTAATAATATTTTAACACAGTTTAAATTATTTTGGCACGCTTAGAAGTACAAAATTCACTTTTTATCATTTGTTACACACAAGGACTAACAAATTTCTTCAAAAAAATAAATAAAATACCAAACTATCGAAGACAGCTTCGTGGAATTATATTATGACTATGCAAACACACATAACGTTGGAAAAAGAAAAAGTTTATATCAGATCCCATGCGATTATCTTCCACTTGGCATATTAATATGTTCTCTTTTCATCGTTTATAACAAAAATTAAAAAATGCTGAAGACAATTATACGTGAAAAGCAATTTTTTTAACATTTGAACATGACACAATTTCTAAAATACGTGAGGATTCCGATGTATCGCGATTATTTTTTTCTTCCACAATGCATCGACAAGAAGGAACGAATCGCGGTTCATCGATTAAACAATGAATCGTTGCAGCCCTACTGTCTGTATATATTTATCTAACCTAACCGATCTAGCACTATTGTCTTGAACTCGATTTGCGGATGGAATATTTGTCACTCGCTCTGATCCATATTTGGATCGCTGGTTTTTGAGAAATTTCACTATGACAAAAGCCAAATTTTGGTATTGATGATACAAATCAGATCTATATCTACAAAGCCCATCACTATACCACTATACAGTTGAGGGGAAGGCTATTTCCTTTCTTGTACAACTCTATAAGTTTCGTCTATTAATTGAAGTTAAGTCAGTACTTGAATCGTATGCTAATTTAAACCACTTGTACTGAACAGAGCAACAATTATATTTTAATGGTATTAAAGGGGTATTCTGCTTTTTTGTAAGAAAGTTTTAATTATCAAAAACGTTCTAAATTATAGCTGAAAATATTTCTAAAGCATGTTATTTATATCTATGTATCTACTTGTTCAAACTGAATTTGTTTTTAAAGGGTTAATTGGTAATTAAACAGTTTGACCTAGTTTTGGTATTTGGCTTTATAGTGGCTCGATATTATTAGTTTAAACCTTTAGAATACGTAGGAGACATATTTCTCTATAATTAGGTGTTTATTTTACTTAAATCCGTACACTAGTTTTTTAACAGCTTCCAAAAAGTATAATGAACTTAAATGTTTTTAAATATTTTTGGCGTTTATAAATGGCGTTTTTATAGTTAATATTTTCAGATACATTAAAGTGCACATTTCTCTAGATTTTACAAATTAGAGAAAAAATTTTTCAAGCCACAAAAAAGTGGAATTTTCATGCATTTATATGTGTATATTCTAGATATATGATCACTGTTCAATCATAATCTGGTGAGGTTTTTTTTTTCATTGGAAATATAAGGTTTGATACACATATATAAGTAAAAATCACACACTTTTATGCTTTCCATATGAGTGCTAAAATAGAAAAAAAAATTGAGTTGCTCTGATGGAACTATTACTATTAAGATTTTTAATCAATCATAAATGTCCATGTAAATACAGTCTGGATAAACACAAAAAGATTTTTTGACCTTCTAATCGTCACTATGATC